TAATTAACCGTAGACTAAATTTAGAAGAAGAGGAAACTTCGAATTATTTCAACTAATTATTAGGTTAAACTAATATATAATAAATAAAAGAAATCGAAGTAATATTTGAGGAAATAACCAAGGACAATAAACATATATAGGACTTAAAAAGTAAATATTAGTTAATATTAGAAGAATTAATACGATCATTATCTTCCCAAAAACAGGAAAATTAAATACTTTAGAAATAAATTAACTAATTATAAGAGTAATGTTAGTAATTAGCCCTAGACTATTAGTAATAAATCTCTAAACTGAACGAATTTAATAAATATATAAAAGAAAAAGACTAAAATTAAGCACATACGCTTTTTTTATAAGAAAGGGAGAAGATACACTAAATAAATGAACTAAAAAAAAAATATGATGAGAGTAAAAGTCAACTTTTTTAAAGCCAAAAAGAAATCGAACATTTAAAAGAAAAAATTGATTAACTATTAATCGTTATAGGCCAATTTGACTAAGAAAAAACTGAAAATAATTAGAAGATAAACTAGTTTAGAAAAAAACACGAAAACGAAATCAAAGATATATAGGAGAGTTTAAATTAATTTGAAACAATTTGTAATTTTTAAGATTAGTGTATATTAAAAATATTCAGTTATTAATAATAATAAGAAAATACTGAAATTTAATAAGGAATAGTATCTCTATATAATGAAATATTACTAAATTTAAAAAATTAAGACTTAATATAAAAATATAAAGAAATAAAAGAATAATTGACCTAAATATATTACATAAGTACATAATCTAATAATACATATAAAAATAAATCTAATAATAATTCTACTATATATATATAAAATACACCAGAGGAAAAAACATATACTAATAATTAATAAAAAAATCATTTTTTTTAAAACTAAAATGCAATTTAAGAAAACCAGAAATTAATCCAAATTGAACTTTTTAAAGAAAAAGAATAATTTTTTTTAAAATAAATAGAAGATTAAAAATAAGTGATTACATCCTTTTTTTCCCAAAAAAATACTTAAATTGAAAACATATACAATATATTGTCAAAAATATAAGAAAAAATAGATAATAAAGAACTTTAGGACCTAATTTTAAATTTCTAGTAATAAATAGATAAATTAAACTAGGAAATAATACAAAAAGATTCTTTTTTTTAATTAAAATAATCTTCTTTTGAATAAAAAAATATACTTTTGGCAAAATTAGAATAGGAAAATGAACATTTAAAAAAGAAAATCGAAAAAAAAACTCAAAAAAAACACTTTTATATGATAATTTTCAATCTTAGAATGAACTTGTTAGATAGTAATAACTTCGGATTTAAAAACTTGAAAACTTTGAAAAAAAACAGGAAAGCTTTAAAATAAAAAAAACTGGCTTTTTACAAAAAATTGAGTTTTTTTAAAATTAATATAAAGACTTGGTTTCTCAAAACGCTTTTCTTTAAGAAGAAAACGCAAAGTTATAACAAGAAAATAATTTTAAGTATAAAAATGAATAAAATTTTGAATAAAAAGATGGATTAGGGGATAAAAAAAATGTTCTTTTAGAAGAAAAAAATATGATTTTGGAAGAAAAAATGAAGCTTTTGGATGAAAATAGAAAGGTTTTGGAGGATAACAGGAAAGTTTTGGATGAAAAAAGAAAAGAAAATGAAAATTTGAGGGAAAAAATAGAAAAAATGGAAAGAAAAATAAACGAAAAAGATGATTTATTGTAAAAACTAAAGGAAAATTTAGAAAATGAAAAGGAGAAAAATTCTTAAAAAAAAGAAATTATTTAAAAATTAGAAAAGAAAATTATAGAAAAAGAGGAGATTTTTGTTAAAGAAAAAAACGAAATTTAAAAAAAAGAAAATGAGAAATTTGAAAATTTAAGAAAAGAAAAATAAAAAGACGAAAATTATAAAGATGAAATTTTGAAAAAGGAAACCGAAAATTTATAAAAAATCATTGAAAATTTTAAAAAAGAAAATAAACATTTAAAAAATCAAATAGAAAATCTTAAAAAAGAAAATGAAAATTTATAAAAAATAAATGAAAATTTTAAAAATCAATTCGATATTTTTAAAAATGATAATGAAATTCTTAAAAATTAATTAGAAAATTTCAAAAAAGAGAATGAAAATTTCAAAAATCAAGAAGAAAATTTCAAAATTATAAACGAAAATTTAAAAAAAGATCATGAAAATATCAAAATATAATATGAAAATTTTAAAAAATAACATGAAAATTTTTAAAATGAAAATATTTCAACTGAAAATTTTAAAAATTTAAATTTTAAAATTCTTAATGAAAATTTATAATAAGAAAAAACTAATTTATAAAAAAATCTTGAAAATTTATAATTAAAACTTGACAATTGTTAATAAGACAAAAATGATTTAATAAAAGATTAATAAAATATGTAAAAAACAATAGATGATTTTTCAAAAAACATACAAAATTTATAAAAAAACAATGAAAATTTACAAAAAAACAATGGCAATTTATAAAAAACAATCGAAAATTTATATATAGAGTAAGAAAACCTTCAAAAGAATATAGAAAACCTATAAAAAAACACTTAAATTTATTAAAAAGATAAAGAAAGTTTATAAATATAAATATAAAACTACCAAAACAATATCGAAAGTCTCCAAAATAATATTTAAAACTTTAAAAAAAATATAGAAACCTACTAATAAGAAGCCTAAAACATAGAAAAAGAAAAACAAGAACTATAAAAAAAATATAACGATCAAATAAATATAAAAAATGACTAAATCGACAACTTAAAATATTAATTAGAATAAAAAATGCCCTAAAAGCCTATATTAGACTAAGAAAATGAACTTTTAAATTAAAAAAATGAATAAATAAAGGACTTAAACTAACAAATAAAGCATTAACTATAAAACAATTAAATTTTATAAAAAAGTGTTTAAGAAATCCTTGAAAAAACCAAAGATTTATAAATTGAAAACAAAGAAAAAACTGACCAAAACATTAGTTTAAAAAACGAAAATATGATCAATATATAATAAATAAATACACTAAATTAATAAATAAATAATTTAGAATAAAATAATTAATCTCTAATAAATGAAAACTAACTAAAATTTGAAGAAATAAACTCTCTGAAAAAAATAATTAATTAATACTAATCTAATGATCATCTTTAATAGAAAAAAAACTTCGTCCGAATTAAAGATCTAGGCATGAAGACAATAGATATGGTTGATAAATTTTTAGATATTTACAAATTTTTCGTAGAAAAGCACCCTGATGTGACAAAAAGAATCGATTAATTAAATTATAATAGTATAATTGGCAATTTTAAATAACTTAAAAAAGATATAGTATCCAATGGAGAAAACTGTGCTAAGAAGATAATTTAATTAGTAGAAGCTTCCAAAAAAAATCCTTTAGAAATTGTTTATATGGATTCAGTTAATGAAAATTTATCTAAAGATATGATTAAAATTTTTTAAATATGTAAACTTCTCGAAAAATATCAAGAAAATTTTAAACTTTTCTATCATTTTTGAAAAAAAAAAAAAAAAAAATTAAACTTTTTTTTTTTTTTGATATCTTTTACAAAAAATATATATTTTAATTAAACTATATATAAAATTTATATATTATTACATATTTATATATTCTTTTCAATATTTTATTTCAATAAATAATTATTAATATACATATTTTTTGTTATATATATACTTTTTTTTTTTAAATAAAAATAAAGAATTGTACTAATAATAATAATAATATATATATATATATATATATGGAATCATAATAAATACAATTCCCAGAATAATTAGTAATTGCCCATTAATTAATAAAATCTTAAATAATATGTTTTTTATGTCAAAACCTAATATAAAATCCTGCTTCTTGTATAAAATGTTAATATGTATTTTGTACTTAATGCACTCTTTAATTTTTATAAGAAAACAATGGATGTCCATCTTGCAATAATATCATTTTTGAATATAAAAAACCTCCTATATATGAAGATTATTTATAATAAATTTAAGTAAATTGTCCTAATACATTAAACTAAAATGAAGAGTTTAAATGTCTTAAAAAAAATATGAAATTCGAAGAAGCATTAATACATTACAAAAATTGTAAATTTAAAATAATATAATGTCCTAATAAAAACTGCCCTTTTTCCTCTATTTAAATGTATATGTTTTCTCATTAAAATACTTGCTCTTTTTTGGCAATAGAATGTGAATATTGTCGAAAAAATTATCTTTTAAAAGATAAAGATAGTCATTTTTTATAATGCGAAGTATAATATGCATAATGTGAAGTCTGTATGTAAAAAATGCATTAAAAATTAATCCAAAATCATTAATAAGATTGTTTTTTAATGTATTATAAATGCAATTTTTGTAATTTTTGGGTCAATAAAAACAACTAAGATTCACACTAGGATAATTGTATTTAATAAAAAATCAAGAAGAAGGTTCAAATATTATTAATTGTTAAAAATGTAATAAAAAAATTGTAAAAGGAGAATAAAATCATAATAATAAAGAATGTATAAAATATCTTTGTAGTTAAATTTAAAATTTTGAAGATGATATTTAATCTTTACAGTCATAAATAGATTAAATATAGTCCTTTATTGTTAATTAATATAATTTTTAATAATGATATTTTAATAAATTTGATATATATATATATATTTTTTTTTTCTCTTCTAAAAAAAATAAATACTAGATTATATATAATTTTTTGAAAACAATATAAATATGCAATATTTTGGAAAAAAATATAATTTATATATATATATATATATTATTGCTTATTTTTCTTTTTATAAAAAATTACTAATATAAATTATTATTTATAATATATATTAACTTTTGTATTTATTTTATTAATAAAATTATATTTTTCACTTTCTATATTTCTGATATTAATTGATATTTTTTTTTTTTTATAATTTATTTTTTTTAAAAAAAAAAAAAACAAAAAAATAAAATGAATTCCAAAAAATAGATGAAATAAGTAGGTTAATACATAATCTATTTAGAAAAGAAACTAGGTGAAGGACAATACGGTAAAGTATATGCCGCCTCTGATTTAAAAGACGAAACTAAGCAATATGCCGTAAAAGTGATTCCATCTACAATATTTTAATCAAACATTGTAAATTCATAAATGTTATAAAAGGAAATAGAAGTATTAAAAAAGCTTAAGCATCCTAACATTGCATGTTTAATTGAAATTTCATAATCTACAAATAATTTATATCTTTTTCTTGATTATTGTAACGGAGGTGATTTAAATGAATACATATTGTCTAAAGAACTCTAAAGACTCTCAGAAAGTGAATCCATGGAATTTTTCTAATAAATAGTTAATGGATATTAATTCTTATATTCTTAAAAAATAATACATAGGGATTTAAAACCTGAAAACTTAATGTTACATAATGGTTTATATATATAAAAATATAAATATTTAAATTGTTTAGTAATTTATATTTTTTTCGTTATTTTTAATTCACTAAATCAAAAAAAGGCGTAAATACATTTATTCTAACCTTTTTAATAGTTGATTATGATAAAAATATAAATTAAACTATATTAAAATATATTTAAAAATATATATATATATATATATATATATACATATATATATACATTTTTATATATTTTAAAGGTAAAATAAAAATTGGCGATTTCGGTTTTGGAAGATTTATAGAAGGAGAAATGGATAGTGAATAAAGAATGTCAATAAAATGTACTCCAATATATGCTTCGCCTTAATTATTAAATAAACAGAGTTATAGTTCTAAATGTGATATATGGAGTACTGGTTGTATTCTTTATAAAATGTTATATGGATAATATCCTTTTATAGCCAGAGATTTGCCTTCTCTAATTTCAATAATTAAATAAAAAGTAGTCCGCGAGGAATTTTAATTTCCTCTAGAACCTTAAATAAGCGAAGAAGTTAAAAATGTAATAGTAAGAATGCTTAAATACGAAGAATAAGACCGTATTTCCTGGGATGAAATATTCAAGCATCCTATATTACAAAAGAAATACAATATACTAAGCACATAAGAAATCCTAGAGGAAAACGACAAAAACAACCCAATATTTTAAAGTATAATATAAAACCGATAACATGTAATGGACAACGTAGTAACTGATTATGCTAAAAATTTCTTAAAACAGCCAAATTAAGAAATGTAGAAATATTTCCAAAAGCCAGCCCCTTTATAAGAAGAGGAAAATAAAAAAAACACTCCCAAAAACTATTTAACTTAGGACAAAAATTTGTTCCCAATAAGTAGTCCTCGTCCTAAAGCGGAAACTTTCGAGGAACATTCGGAAGACATGTAATTTAGATAAAGTCTATAAAAATTCCAATAGGTAGATTTAGATAATTAAAAAATAACTAGAGTTGATAAAATGATACTTTTTTTAAGAAATTAAGCCCTTTTTGCAGACGTTACAATGCAATTAATTTTCGTTTCCAGAAATAAATTCGGACTCCCCAATTTGCTTTTTTATGAAATTATATATTGTCTAACAGGCTATTATTCCTTTAATTTAGATTTATTAAAAATGATGCTTTAATAAAAAGTGCCTGTAAGGATAGTCAAATAAGATGATTTTGATATATATGTAAAAAGTACATAATTTTCAAAAACTAAATAAAAAATAGAAAAAGACGCCTAAACCGCAAATGACTTCTTCTCTACTTTATCGAAAGGAATTCTTAAAGAAATACAAAAGCTTGGACAAGCAGATGTATAGAATTAAGACTTGAGAGATTTCGAAAACTTCATTAAAAATTAAACTGCTAATTATAATGAATATAAACTAAGAGTTTAAAATAAAATAAAATAGTTTTTCCTTTATGTTAGTCCTGCACTTTTTAAAAATGATATAAATTCATTAAAAGGCATTAGAGGTCTTTAAATTTTCTTTAAATTGGATTAATATATGCCTATATAGAATTTCTATAAATTTGATTTCAGATAATTTTATGATGTCGAAATGAATAATTTAACTTCTGATCAATTGTATTAAAAAATACTAACGGAGTGTATCTTTTGAAACATAATACATATTTTATAATTCGTCTTTTTATTTTTATTTATAACAAAAAAAAACATTAAATAATAAAAAAATTATAATTTTTTTTATATAAAATTTCAAATGCTTTTTTCTTAAAATTAATTAATATTATCTTCATTTTAATTTAATTTATCTAACATTATTAAATCATAAGCTTCTTGAATTCTCGGATCTTATTAACATAAAATATAAAGCATTTAAGGGCTTTTTTATAAAATTTAAAGTCTCGAAATAAAACTTTTATCTTATAAATATGAAGCTGTGATAGGATTTTGTCTTAGTTTTAATAAAACATCATATTCAAAGCTTTAATGTAATAAATTTTCATTATATTAACTTTTTCTATATATTTCTTTTTATACAAACATTAATTATTTACTTAAAATTTCACTTTAGGGATCTATTTTTAAACCTTCTCTTAATGTTTAAACTGATTCTTCGAAATTTTCTTACTAGAATTCTGCTATTCCTTTTCTTAAATAGCCTTTTACCCAAATAGGGTTTAATTTAATGCATATTTTGGCATCTTTTATAGCTTTTTCGTATTATTTTGTATGGAAAAATGCTGCACTTCTATTTGAATAATAAATAAAATTTTTATTGTCTATTTATATAGCTTAAGTAAATAAAATAATTGATTTTTCATAATTTTTTTATTGAAATTCTAAATTTCCTTATTCTTTCAATTTTTCAGATTCAAAATTTAATTACATAATATATTTATTTTTTTTAAACACAAATAATTTGTTTTTGAATATTTTTTTAAATAAATAAATATAAAAATAATATTTATATATATTTAAAATCTTTCATTTCTTTTTAGATTTTATTATAGTTTAATGCTTAATTAAATGATTAATTTTTTTTCTTTAATGTCTTAATAAATTTAATTTTATTAAGAAGCTTCCGATTCGTTTTATAAAGAACATAAATCTTATAATCTAAAAAAAATATTAGTTATATTATTTTATTTAATACTTCTAATTTAATTAGGATTACAACCAAAAATTGTACAAATAATTATTTATACCATGAAACTCTAATTTAATTTCGTCATTTAAATAATCTTTTATTAAAAAATTATAAAAAAAATAATATACGATTATATATATAAATAAAAAGAATTATTTATTATATATATATATTTATAATAAATAAATTATTATTTGAATATAAATATATTTATGTAAATTATTATTTTAACTTTCTTCATTTATGATTTTATTTAATTATTATTTATTATCTTTAAATTATCCAAACTAATAACTAAAAGCTTATAATCCCGGTTCTTAATATAATTTTTTCTATATACATTTAATTAATTTTCAAACCTTATAATTTAAAATTTTAAATAATTTTTTATTTTAATATAAACTATGTAGTATCTATTTTTTATTATGTATTAAATTCATTTGGATTTATTTATGTCACCATATCATATTATAATAATTAGTTATTTATTTACAATTATTTACATAAATTTTACAATTTATATTTTAGTTAATTTTCATTACATTCTAAAATATTCTAAATATATATATTTTTTTTAATAAAAACATATATATTTATATTTTAATTAAAGATAATATAAAAATACACATGATTAATTATCCTAAACTTATTATTATTTTTTTTAAACATCATATTATTCAAAATCATTGAATTCATCTTCATCGAATTCATTCATATTTTAATCGTTCTATAAAAAAAATTATATTTAATAATAATTAATATTATATTATTTACTTATAAATATTTATTTTTTTAATCAGAATTAAATTCATTTTCTTCATTTTTTTTCTCAATGAAAATATTATTACAACTCTTTAATATTTTTTTTTAAAAAAATAACTTGTTAATAAACAAATTATATATACTTTATTTTCTTCCTAAACCTATTATTTTTCTTAATTTTAATTTATATTTTGACTAAAAATACTAAAGCTTTAATTATTAAAACTCTTATATTATTAATTAATATATTTTTCTGTTTCTTTAATTGAATATTTATTATTTTAAATAATTTCCGAATGATGATCGTTTTAGATATCGTTATCTAATATATTCTAACTAAAACTATTTTAATTAATATTAAATTCACATCCTTTATTTTCATTAATATTTTCCAAAGACTTGGTTATTAATTTACTTCTATGTGTTTACAAATTTTACTAATCTTTATTATCTTATAAATTATTTATATTTTCAAATTCCTATTACCACTCGAATTCTTAATTTTAATCAATTAATTATATCTACATCATTTATTTTTTCTATTAAAATAAAAAGTTCTAATCTTATTAAATATCTTTACTGGCATTAGGACTTTATATTTAATTTTAAGATTTTAATATATCAATATTATTATTTGATTATATTAAATCATCTGCTATAAATTAATTTAATGCATATTGGTTCTATTGTTTATTTTTATTTAATATTTTTCTGACGTTTTTTGGCGTTTTTTTTAAATCTATTGAGTTTGTTAAATATTCAAATTATGGTCTTAATGAAGGTATTGTTGGCATATTATAATTATTTCTATTTTATATTATTTTCTGATTATGTATAATTAATTTTTATTATTATTGTTAATTTTACATTTTATTTTTATTTATTTTTTAAATAAAAAAATATGTATATTTTTCAAAAAAGCTTTTAATTGGGGATTTTTAGATATTTTATTTTTTAAATTTATTAAGTTAATTATTAATATAAATTTAAAATATAAAAAAAATTAAGGCTATTTTTGTAAATTTATAAAATTCCTTGTCATTAATTTTATTATAAAATAAATTTTTAATAATATAATTTATTTAAGTATTCAGTATATTCTACGTAAATAACAATTTATTTTAAAACGATAGAATCATTTGAAATATACTAAATAATATTTTAATAGAAAATGATATTTATTTTTATAAAAAATATATAAATAAAATAAAAATAAATAAAAATATTATAATAATATTATGGTAAATAAAAATAAATGAAATAAAATAATTAAAAATTGTATTAATTATAAAAAAAAAGATGAGAAAAATATTTAAATTATATAAACTTTCTTGTAATAAGATAAATTATTTAATAAATAATTTCTTTTAATAAAATGAAATATTTTAATTATTTTATAAAACTAAAAATATATTTTTTATATTATGAAAAATAAATTACAATTATAAAAAAAAAATATAAAATAAATTATAATTAAAAGAAAAATTTTATAATAATATGTATATAAGAAATAATAATAATTAAAAAATAAAAAATATATATATAAACATAATTAAAAATAAATTAAATTATATATATATAATAAATAATAAATATAAATATAAATAATTTATTTAATATATATAAATAAATATATATTTTATTTATATATTATATTATTCTTTAATATTATATATATATATATATTTTATTTATATACATATATTTTTTTTTCTTTTGGCTTTATTAATTAATTAAGAAAAATATAAATAATATTATTTTGCATTAATTTTATCTCCTTATCCCTTCTTTGTCTATTTATGAGTCTCTATTTAATCATTAATAACCTTTTATATTTCTTCCTTTTAAAACCATATTTTATCTGTATTTATCATATAATTTTTTCAAATCTAACAATTTCTCTATCAATAAGTTTCACTACGAATATATTAGAAAACCCAAAATATTGTATTTTTATTTGAAAATACCATAAAGCTATATTAATTTTACTGTAACTATATATCATTCAACCTTTAACTATTCCTATTACTGTTTTTGATACTTATAATTATATCTATATTTTTTTATTTATGTTATTAACATTTTATATTAAATATTATATGAAATCATATCTAGCTATTTAAAAAAGATCATAATCGGTATTATTAAATAATGTTATGTTACTATAAATGGCAATTTTTTATTGAGGTTTTATCAAAAAGTTATAAAAAGTGTCTTATATTTATTTTTTTGCATCAGTTTGTAAATTTATACAGTTTTTACCGTGCGGTTTAAGTTCATTAGTTAACTTTAGTTATTTTATATAAATTAAGATTTTTTATATATATTGTCATAATAAACTAACAAAAAAAAATTAAATTACTAATAAAAAACCTATAAATAGTAAAAAAAAAAAAATGTAAAATAATTTAAAAGACGGCCGATTTTACTTTACATCAACCATTGGAATAATATCAATATATTCATTAACAAAATTAATAAAATACCAACTTAAAGTCCATAAGAAAAACAAGCAATTAAAAAAAGCTTCCAAAGCTTAAGTATTTTCTCTTTCCGAATTACTCCAAAAATTAAAATCGAATTAAAAAATAGAATAACTCCATTATAAAAATAATTTACTAAGAGGCCAAGTATATATTTAAGGAATTGTTTAATGTGATAATCCAATATATTCAAAAACTACATTTTTAAATGAATTTAAGAAACATGGACTTATATATAGAATATAATATGATGAAGAAAAACATTCCATGGACCCTTTAAATTGTGATATTTCTTAATATTAGTTAAAGAAATTTCCCGAAAACGCTATTTTTGAAAGGGTGAGGACTTTCAAATTAAAAGACCAATTAACATATTAGGAAATAGAAGTGCCCCTCTCTGATGAAATAAATTTAAGTAGTGTAATGTAGTTCTTAGGTTAAAATGAAAAGCTAATTAATATTAATTTCGGCTAAAGAATAATGGGATTCTTTTTGCTTATTTTAAAGGCTATTTTGGATTTATTCGGAAAGACTAACCCTTTTTCAACTAATTTAAGAGGTATAAAATTAGGAATTACTGAAAAAGAAATAGGAATTAAAATAGATTCTATTTTAAATGTCTATGGGGAGATTTTATATGATATTTAAAGTGGAGTTATTAAAGTAAATATGCCAGAAGCTTTAGTTAATGATAAGTAGTAGTTTTTAAAAATACTTAAAAAAAGTTTAAAGTAATATAGGTTTATGAGGAATTTCTTTGGAGTTGTTTTTGGGGCTACAATTGTTTATTT